CTTGCCAAAAATATTAAGTTTACAAATTTACAATCTTAAAAAAAAAAAAAATGTTTTAATACTATGGGAAGGAATGGTGTAAAGAGTATTATATTGGAATTTTGATTCAATATTGTAACCGCTCAAACATCACATCAGTGCATGATCTAACCACACTCATAAAGTGAAACCAGTCCATTAAGTCCAGGTTATTTTTTTCGTACATTACTAGCCCATTCTCGTTTGTTTGTTGGAAACCAATTTGATGTGCTAGTGCCCTTTGGTAAGGCATTAATCCTCATTACCAAGTCCCTCTGAGAGGATGGAAAGCCATTAGTGCCCTGGTTGCTCACTAAGTTTAAATACAAGCATACACAAGCTTTCTTACCAGTCAGGTTAAACAAACGAGCCAACCTTCCAACAAGCCTGGACATTACCAGTATATTGTCTTTAAACATTAAAAGCATGTGCTTTAAAGAACATTAGAAATTTCACCAAAAATTGAGCGATTTTTCAGGATTTTCACAGACACTTTAAAGGTATTACAAAGTTTTGGTAAATTTTGAAAATTGGCTGGTTAGTGATTCTTTACAATTTTGATATATATGGATGCCCCTATGGATGTATTATAAGCACTACAAAAAATAGCCCCTAAAACACTTCTGCTTTCGAGAAAAATTGAGTATACAAATTTACCGGTGCTCCCGGTAAATTTTGGTAAATTTCAAATAGCGCCTACAACCATACGATGGTAGCTGCGACCATGAAAATCTCAGAATATGTAGTTGTGATATACATATTTCAAACGGTAATAGCAAATCGGTCGATTTTATTCAAAGAACATTGATAGCTAAATTAATATATTGACCTTGTGAGGGCGCTATACAACATAAAGAGTTTATCATTAACAATTTCAACACTTTAGACTCGATTTCAACCGCGACAACGATCACTGAATATTGTAGGATCGCATATGCTTCCAATATTGCCATTTGAACCAAATTCATGACCCCATACCAAAACTTTGTATTACCTTTAATGATCGCGAATTTGAGAAAAAGGATATGTTAAAGTCTAAAATAGCAAGAAATTTCAAGACAACTAGTCATAAACATGCACATGTATTTCATTGAGGGCCCTAAACGCTTTTAACACAGAAAATTCCATGAAAATAGTGTACTTTTTTTTTAATTTGGACTTGTCTTAGTATTCATGAATGGCCCATTTGTACCTGTATTGAGGCGAAAAAGTATGATATTTTTTAGTGAAAATGTTCTTGATTGTATGCAAACTGGTGATTTAAGAAATTAAGACCCTGTTAATGATCATCATTCATTCTATCTATCTATGTCAAATAGCTTTGAGGCTGTTAGGGGAACACTGAAATGGACCTTGAGACACAGGTTCTCCATAACTTTCTGTCACCAGCTGTTCTAGTTAGCTTGCCAAATGACATACATGTACAGTACCTGTCCACCAGCGTTTAATGTTATCATCATGCATTACCCCTTTGAATGCGAAGTGACAGCACCAGGGTATGACACGGTGGATGCCAATAATCCTGCTTCATGGCTCTGCAATACATGTACTTGGTTAGCCAAAAAATGGTTTTACGTGTGCATGTGTGTATTGGGTTTTTACAGTCGTGTATTAATCAGATATGACTATTTACGTATGGGGACTGACCTTTTAATGTCACCATCCAAAAGACGTGACTCAGTTACTTGGAGCCCATGGCATTAAGTTTTGTACAAGTACCTTTTTGCCTAAAAACAGGTGATATCTTGTGGAATATATTCTTGAAGTCTGCAAACGGGTAATTTTTTACTCCGCCAATGATCAAGGATCATCATGCATTACCCCTTTTAATACAAGGTTACAACATCAGGGGAGTGTTTCACAAAGACTAAGATTGACTTTAACTTGGACTTAACTATGGCAGGCCGTTGATGCCACTGGTTGCTCTCACCATTGGTCTCTCAATTATGATCTTAAGATAATATTTTTTCCTTCAATAATGAAGTATCAAAAAATAAATTCTGTAGATTTGTGACCATGATTTGTACGTCCCTTGAGTAACCAATGCCAGGAATGGTTAGAGGAACTAGTGGCATGAATGACCCGCCATAGTTCAAGTCCAACTTAAGTCGATCTTAGTCTTTGTGAAACACTCCTCAGGGTATGGCACAATGGATGCCAATCCTGCTTCACGACTAACGCCGTACGTGGAACTACGACTGCATGCAAGAAGGCCGTTATTGTCATTGCTAATACACTTGTGTGACTCTTACGGCCCTCTTGTGGTCAGCCGACTTACGTACTCTACCTTGTACTGGCCGCCACCACCTCTATCCACACAACAGCCAAAATAATCACGAAAACTCAAGTGTACATCTGTTTAATTCTTTCATTAGTTTTTTTATTTACTTACAAAATAGTTTTACTTTCAGCTTTGGAAGACATTTTGTTAAGGCGACATATGACACGTCACGTCATGAGCCCATCATCTTTACGTGAATAGGTATTTCAGCATAAATATTTCACTACTTCTTAAGCACAAAATCCATTCACATTACTATGCTTGGTATCATCCAAAAGGGCATTAAATTTCTATGACTTGTAGAAACCACTTTCTTATACAAGGCATAATTAAAGAGATGCAAGCATCAGAAAAGTAAACATCTTTCATGTTGAGGTAAAAAAAAACAGTAACGTTTTACTTCAGCTTCGGAAGACATCTTTTTAAGGCGAGATAAGGCACATACATATAATGAATTTATCATCTTTATGCGATTAGGTATTTCTGCATTATTATTTCACTAGTTCCTTAAAGCACAAAATTAATTCATATTACAATGATTGGCCTTGGTACCATCAGAAAGGGCTTCAAATTGTCTTTGTCTTGTTAAAAATGTGTACATACTACATAACACTCTCTTACATGTACAAGGCCTAATCAAAGAGATGCAAGAAAAAGTAAACATCCTTCATTTTAAGGTAAAAAAAAAATGTAATGTTTTTAACCTTTTACTTTAGCTTTGGCATTTGACATTTTGTTAAGGCAAAATATGGCACATACATGTAATGAATATATCATCTTTATGCGATTAGGTATTTCAGCATAAACATTTCAATAGTTCATAGGCACAAAATTTGTTCACATTGCAATGCTTCGTACCATCAGCAAGGGCTTCAAATCGTCTTTGTTTAGTAAAAACTTGCACTAACTTCTAAGCACTTTCTTAAATAAAGGAAGAAATTTGTGAAGGCGAGATAGGGCACATACATGTAATGAATGCACCATCTTTATGTGATGGAAGTATTTCAGCATAAACATTCACTAGTTCCTTAAAGCACAAAATTCATTCATATTACACAGGGGTGATAGTGAGCACTAAAAACAAAAAGTTTTTTGTTTCCCCTCAACCACGCCCCCCTCGAGTAAAACAAAAAAAGAAGAGGATTCGCGGGGAAAAAATGGCTTCTAACAACATTTCCCCCATTCGAGTAAGAAAATTGGGACAAAATTGGGAAAATTTTGGAAAAAAAAAAAGGGAAGAATGGAAAAATAAGAGGAAAGTCGGGGAAAATCAGGATAAAATATTGAAGAAGAAAAACAATTTGGTAAAAAAAAAAAAAAATCTGGATTTTTTTTTTTTTTTTTTTTTTTTTATAAATCGGGAAGAAAAGAAAAAATCAGGAAAAATACAAAATTAAAAAAATCGGGGTTTTTATCGGACCTGATTACAATGCATGGTACTGTCAGAAAGGGCTTCAAATTGTCTTTGTCTCGTTAAAACTTGTACTAAGCACCATCTTAAACAAAGGAAGAAATTTTGTTAAGGCGAGATAGGGCACATACATGTAATTAATCTACATCTTTATGTGATTAGGTATTTCAGCATAACCATTTCACTAGTAGCCCTAAGCACAAAATACATTCATATTACAATGCTTGGGAACGTCAAAAAGGGCTTCAAGTTGTATTTGTCTTGTACAAATTTGTAAGACTTTCTTAAACAAGGCATAATAAAAGAAAACGTCCTTCACATTTACGTAAAATGTCAAGACGATCAAAACTCCTCAGCACAGTGAGAGTTAAAAAGTAGTCAATCCATTGATTACTGAATTATCTCATTTCCATAGGCTTAATACAGGATCAATCCGATTCCTGTATGCAGTGGGTTAGGTTCAGGTACTGGAAGCATATCTTAGTAGAAATGTTCTCGGAAAATACAGTTAATACAACCTCATTTGACGTATCATATATGTCTTTAACTCAATATTTATAAGACTTTTTTTAAATTTTTGTACAAAAATAAACTTTCACCATTGAACATATGCTTAATTCTAGGGAGTGAAAGCATAAGCTTACCATATATATATTGTCTTCCTATGGTGATACGTATACTATCGCCAAATTTGAAGTTCGTGCCTCAAGTGGTTCTTGAAATATTGCTTTAAAAGAAAGCTTGACCAACGGTCGGACAACCCCAAAACATAATGCCTCCTGTACCACCATCGGTGGCTGCAGGCTTTAAAAAGGTTTTGAGGACAATAAGACATTTTAAAAATGCTACCAAGACACCATATTCCAGTCTATTAAAAAAAATTGATGGTGAAATATTACATTTATATTTACAGTAAAATGCATATGAAAGAAAATAAAATCAATCAATTAGAACTAACAACTTTTTAATTAATACAAATTACCTTTATAAAATGAAAACTACAGTCCCAAGTACTGATCAATTGTTTTACATGTAAATGGATAATTTCAAAGATGTTGATTTAATTATCAAAATGTGGAGTAAAAACAAATACCTGAATACATTTTAAAGTCTAATAAAGCTGTTTTTTCATTATGTACTATATAACTAAAGGACGAAACTTACATGGACCTCTGAGTTTCCAGCTCAAGTACAATGTATAATCTACATTTATGATGGCTTTTGCCCTGCCTGCAGCTATATCTATGATACACACATATGACATCCTTAATGGATAGTGCCAAAACATTACCCACAACCAAAATGAACACAATACTTGTGTCCCTCTTTACCATATGAAATCTCTCTTGTTTGAAACACCTGAAACCTTTTCCAGTTCCAACTCAGACTTGAACAACTTTGATAAATGTTCTGGACTACAACATACCAAGTTACCTCTTTTGCATATGAAATCTTGTTTTGACAGACTCTTAGAAGATGTATTCCAATTATAATCTTTAAAATCTTACAATTTTGATATAGAAAAAAAAGAAAATATGACCTAGATGTACATCAAACTGGACTACGAAATACCAAGTTCCCTCTTTGGCGTATGAAATCTCGTTTTGACAATAATACACTTTCAAATCTTTAAAATCTTACAATTTTGATAAAAGAAAAAAAGAAAATATGACCTAGATGTACATCAAATGGACTACGAAATACCAAGTTCCCTCTTTAGTGTATGAAATCTTGTTTTGATAAACTCATAGAAGATATATTCCAATCTCATGTAGTCTTTCATGATCCGGGCAACCTCTGGGGAGGGTTGAACCTTGTGCTTGGTGACCATGACCGAGAGGTTTTTACCTACCTCTCCTGATACTGTGAATAAGGAAAACAATTGTCAGATTAGGCCAATTATATAATTCTGAAAAATAAATAAAACTCCCAATTATGATAAATTATGCATCCTTCAAACCGTTTTGATCACCTAAAGACCTTAAGTGGTCTTTCACATTCTCAAACCATTTTGATCACCTAAAGGCCTTAAGCAGCATTTCACATTCTGCCTCTTTTACACCGTTTTGACCACCTAAAGATATTAAGCGGTCTTTCACATTTGCATCCTCTAAACTGTTTTGATTGCCCAAAGACCTTAAGTGGTCTTTCACATTCTGAATCCTTCAAACCGTTTTGATTGCCTAAAGACCTTAAGTGGTCTTTCACATTCTGCATCCTCTAAACGGTTTTGATTGCCTAAAGACCTTAAGCAGTCTTTCACATTCTGCATCCTTCAAACTGTTTTGATTGCCTGAAGACCTTAAGCAGCCTTTCACATTCTGCATCCTTTAAACTGTTTTGATTGCCTTAAGACCTTAAGCAGTCTTTCACATTCTGCGTCTTTTACACCGTTTTGACCACCTTAAGATATTAAGCGGTCTTTCACATTTGCATCCTCTAAACTGTTTTGATTGCCCAAAGACCTTAAGTGGTCTTTCACATTCTGCATCCTTCAAACTGTTTTGATTGCCTTAAGACCTTAAGTGGTCTTTCACATTCTGCATCCTCTAAACGGTTTTAATTGCCTAAAGACCTTAAGCAGTCTTTCACATTCTGCATCCTTCAAACTGTTTTGATTGCCTGAAGACCTTAAGCAGCCTTTCACATTCTGCATCCTTTAAACGGTTTTGATTGCCTAAAGACCTTAAGCGGTCTTTCACATTCTGCATCCTTCAAACTGTTTTGATTGCCTAAAGACCTTAAGCAGTCTTTCACATTCTGCATCCTCTAAACGGTTTTGATTGCCTAAAGACCTTAAGCAGTCTTTCACATTCTGCATCCTTCAAACTGTTTTGATTGCCTGAAGAGCTTAAGCAGCCTTTCACATTCTGCATCCTTTAAATGGTTTTGATTGCCTAAAGACCTTAAGCGGTCTTTCACATTCTGCATCCTTCAAACTGTTTTGATTGCCTAAAGGCCTTAAGCCGTCTTTCACAATCTGCATCCTTCAAACTGTTTTGATTGCATAAAGACCTTAAGCAGTCTTTCACATTCTGCATCCTTCAAACTGTTTTGATTGCCTAAAGACCTTAAGCAGTCTTTCACATTCTGCATCCTTCAAACCGTTTTGATTGCCTAAAGACCTAAAGCAGCCTTTCACATTCTGCATCCTTCAAACTGTTTTGATTGCCTAAAGGCCTTAAGCCGTCTTTCACAATCTGCATCCTTCAAACTGTTTTGATTGCATAAAGACCTTAAGCAGTCTTTCACATTCTGCATCCTTCAAACTGTTTTGATTGCATAAAGACCTTAAGCAGTCTTTCACATTCTGCATCCTTCAAACTGTTTTGATTGCCTAAAGACCTTAAGCGGTCTTTCACATTCTGCATCCTTCAAACTGTTTTGATAGCCCAAAGACCTTAAGTGGTCTTTCACATTCTGCATCCTCTAAACTGTTTTGATCGCCTAAAGACCTAAAGCAGCCTTTCACATTCTGCATCCTTCAAACTGTTTTGATTGCCTAAAGACCTTAAGCAGTCTTTCACATTCTGCATCCTTCAAACTGTTTTGATTGCATAAAGGCCTTAAGCAGTCTTTCACATTCTGCATCCTTCAAACTGTTTTGATTGCCTAAAGACCTTAAGCGGTCTTTCACATTCTGCATCCTTCAAACTGTTTTGATAGCCCAAAGACCTTAAGTGGTCTTTCACATTCTGCATCCTCTAAACTGTTTTGATTGCCTAAAGACCTTAAGCGGTCTTTCACATTCTGCATCCTTCAAACTGTTTTGATCGCCTAAAGACCTTAAGCAGTCTTTCACATTCTGCATCCTTCAAACCGTTTAGATTTTCTTAAGACCTTACCTATATTTCTGTAGATGTCCAAGGCACCTTCAAAGGCATCTGGGAGTACTGTCTCAAAGACCCTGAAGGTATCCTCGAGTTCCTCCAGGAGTCCCACAGCCACAAAGTGATCTTGCACGTTCTGCTTTGCTTCATTCAAAGCCCAAGTAGAAGGATCCCTGAAAGAATATCCTAGTTCATATTACCATCAATCCTTTATCATACAGGAGATCTTGGAGAATTTCTACATAAATTGAAATCATTCGCCCAATGATTCTCGAAGCAATTGCCGGACTCCAAAAAAGGATGGCATACAATTGCAAATACCCTCAATATTTGTAAATCAAATATTAAACATATATTCACCTCCGAATTCAGAATTTTAATCACACTTGCATTTCAACCTCAGCCTTCGGCCTCATTGAAATATGTCTCTCAGGTACATTGTTTAATTCTGAATTTGTTGGTTCACATATTTTGTTATTTGGAATTTCAGAGCATGAAATATCAGTATATCATCTGTTTGGAGCCAGAAGGGCATTAACTCTGCATACTATAATATAAGTTAATGCCATTCTGGGTATAAACAGACAAAATTATCACGGTGAGCTACTGACCTGCATCTTGGATCCTGTCCACAGAAATATGGAATGATGTAAAAAGTTCTTCCCCCAAAGCACTCTTTCTTCAGATTCAGGACACACGCATCAAATGTCTGCAATGGAACAAGGTATGATTTATGATTTTACATTGCTAACCATTCCCAGACTTGCCAACTAGTACAATTTAGTCATATTTCGTATGGTTTTGAGAAGCACATACGACAGTACAATTTTTTTAATTTTTTTTATAATAATAATTTTGTGTGTGTATGTGCTATTTTCAATGGCAAAATGCACATTCTGTCCTGTAAAGTATCCTACAAGCATCTCACATCGGCAATTTAGGGATGTTCATTGGTTCATCATACACAACAGTCGTGATGAAATCATGCATATTCAACCAATGATCCATTTAAAAATTTCTTCCTGTATGTAGGAATTGTAAAAGGCATTGATCCGCATTACAGTCCGTGTTTATTTTTAAGAATACAACTTTTGCTAGTAAAATACAACTTTTGGGATTGAAGAATACAGTTTTTGAACTCCAGATGTTGGCAGGTCTGCATTCCTCTTTTGGAGAAATCCTTCCTACTTTTGGGGCCTTCAAATTTATGTTGTGAACCCATGGTTCCTCACTTTTTCACAAAAAAACCTCTGTCCAAAAAGTTTTAAAAATAAGAATGTATTCCTAATTATGTCATGATAGATTCCTAATTACTGCTGTGAAAGGTTGCTAGGTATGATTTTGTTATTTTTTCCACTTTCAAATATACATGATATAACTTATAAGAGATACATGTATCTTACAATGTCTTATCATCTCTGCAGGGGACATTTCGAAGTTGCTCAATTATTAGTTTCTCCTGTTGTTAGGTACGGCAAGCCATACATGTACCTAATGTTTGTCCAACCTTCATGTCGCAACAAACAGAATGTACGTGTATGCAATTTGCATTCGGACTATTGAGATATAAAACAGGTGAATGTAATCGCTCGTTGCTTTGTATAAATGTATAGGAAAAGTGATGGCTTAGTTGTTGAAAAATGACCTCCTAACCGGGAGGTCCCAAGTTCGAAAAACAAGTCCATGTGTAACCCATAGGAAAGTGAAAAGTATGCCGCAGACCTGCCACAGACTTTTAGTCTGCGGCAAAGAGTATGCCGAAGTATGCGGCAGAAAGAAATTTTGCTGCAGACTTGCCGCATACCAGTATGCCACAGGAACAGTCTGCGGCAGATCTGCGGCAGGATGAAATTTTGCTGCAGACTTGCCGCATACTAGTATGCCACAGGAACAGTCTGCGGTAGATCTGCGGCAGGATGAAACTTTGCTCCAGACTTGCCGCATACTAGTATGCCACAGGAACAGTCTGCGGCAGATCTGCGGCAGGATGAAACTTTGCTCCAGACTTGCCGCATACTAGTATGCCACAGGAACAGTCTGCGGCACATCTGCGGCAGGATGAAATTTTGCTGCAGACTTGCCGCATACTAGTATGCCACAGGACCAGTATGCGGCAGATCTGCGGCAGGATGAAACTTTGCTCCAGACTTGCCGCATACTAGTATGCCACAGGAACAGTCTGTGGCAGATCTGCGGCAGGATGAAACTTTGCTCCAGACTTGCTGCATACTAGTATGCCACAGGAACAGTCTGCGGCAGATCTGCGGCAGGATGAAATTTTGCTGCAGACTTGCCGCATACTAGTATGCCACAGGACCAGTATGCGGCAGATCTGCGGCAGGATGAAACTTTGCTCCAGACTTGCCGCATACTAGTATGCCACAGGAACAGTCTGCGGCAGATCTGCGGCAGGGCGAAACTTTGCTCCAGACTTGCCGCATACCAGTACGCCACAGGAACAGTCTGCGGCAGGTCTGCCACAGAAAAGTGGGAAATTATACAGTCTGAAGCAAGGCTATAGGCGGCCATTTTGTAGGACATGCAGTACCATATGAGGTTGCAGGCTGAGCCCATGATCTTGTAAATTCCTGTGTTAATTAGCACTGTTAATTGTCTTTTTAGCTTCTGTCAAACCAAACAATTTGCTTTAAGTTCAACTGGTACCATAAGAGGAATTTATTACATAAGAGGAGACTGAGGAATTAACGGACTGTTTCAAACTTTTTTGTTGTGCCATATGTGATCTTATCTTCAGCCCCACTAACTCACTTTTTTGTTGTAACTACCCAAGACGAAAATCCAATTGAAACCAATTGAACACCAATTGAATTTTCAATTGGTTTCAATTGGTCTCAATAGGTTTTAACAGGTTTTTAATAGGACTTTAATAGGACTTCAGATGGTTTCAATTGGTCCAGATTGTCCCTATTGGACCAATTGGGCCCCATTGGCCTATGCCCCATTAGACTTTAATGGGACCCCAATCGGCCTGAAGTTGGACTTCAATTGGTCCAATTGAAACCAATTGAAAACCTTTTAAAGTCTAATGGGGCAGATTGGTCCAATTGAAATCCCATTAAAGTCTAATAGGGCCAATTGAAACCAATCATCTCATGCATATTCATTATTACTTTACACGTGTGACAGAAAAACACATTTATCATGATTTGTTAAAGAGAAGATTCATTGATTTAAAAATCTAACTTTAATGTCATTATTGCAAAGGTGACACTTTGATTGGCCAAGGTTATCAAAAGCCAATGCTTAGACAACATTCAAAGTAATGATTATTAACAATTACAAAACGCTTAGATACAGCCCCGACATAGCACCTGAAAAGCTCTTCGGTCGCTGCTGAGATATGACGTCACATGTTGAACATGATGTGCACAAGCAGACGATGTCCCATGACATCTCACACAATTTCACTGCCTGTTTTGTCATCTTTTCTTCAGTTATTTCTCTTACTTCAATACCCTCAGGCGAAATGTTTAATCTATTGCCTCACTCTAAACCCCGTGCATGGTATTATTTGGATGAAAAATGCAAGGAAAAAAGAAGGAGAAGGAATCTGTCGCTTGTAAACAAAATAGGACGCCATTGTATTTTCAGCTGCATACACCGCGGCATGTTCGGCATTTCAAGAGGGAACAAATGATGGGTAACCCGACACATGCTCCGCCGACGATTGCTCCGCCGACATTTACTCCGCAAAACGCGACAATTGCTCCGCGACATTTGCTCCGCGACATTTGCTCCGCCGACAATTGCTCCGCCGACATTTGCTCCGCCGACATATGCTCCGCCGACATTTGCTCCGCCGACATTTGCTCCGCCGACAATTACTCCGCCGACAATTGCTCCGCCGACAATTGCTCCGCCGACATTTGCTCCGCCGACAATTGCTCCGCAAAACGCGATAATTGCTCCTGTGACATTTGCTCCGCCGACAATTGCTCCGCCAACAGTTGCTCCGCCGACATTTGCTCCGCCTGAAGCGACACTTGCTCCGGTGACAATGTTGATGATAATAATAATAACTAGATTTGTAATACTTGTTTTGAACAAGTATAGGTGGGCTGGTCTAGTTAAAATTTGAGACAAAATGAAGGGCACATTTTGAGATAGCTAATTGTCTCAGCTACAACATACTCAAAGTTCAGCGTAAGCGAAGCTAAAACGACGGAGATATTGCTCGCGAAAGACGGGAATGCAGAATCCAGTTTTGAGAAAAAGTCACGTCCCATAGAGAATACACGCAAAAAGAGAAAAATTGACATGCCTCCTTTAATCGCAAAAATACGTCATGATTCCTTTGTCGAAATGAAAAATCATGTCAATTGCATTTGTAGTGAATTATCTCAGCTAGAACATATCGAAAGTTGAAAGAAAATCAATCAATATTTACAGAGATACAATCAATTTTCCAAAAATATGCTGATGTCATAATATGCAAATTGGAATTTTGAGTTCGGAGGCCATTATGATGACGTCATGAGTTAATTGAGGGTCAAATGAGACAAGAAATCATATTTCCAATTCATACTCTACAAAATATGAAACAAAATTTGGGGTCACCTTACATCCTAAAAAGCTACAATGGATTTTGTATAGGCATGTTTTTGCCCATATATGATACGTATTACAAGAGCTCGCACGCACGGACGTGTATCTTAACGGACGCTCACTCCGTTATTAATGGTCAGAAATATGTTAACAAGGTATCAAAATGCTTGGGAAAATGTGCCAAATATGATGACAACGAAAAATTGGCGATTCTTTGTTGCAAAATGCCAGAACGCGCGAAAACACGCGCGCATGCGCGTGTGCGAGATTTTTTATAAAATGCTTAAAATGGCCTAAAACGTATTTTAAATTATTTTGAGACTATTTTGAGCATTTTAATATTTTGCGCGCGGACGTACGCGCACGCGCGCGTTTTTTGACCTGAAATTGACCGGACGAATATTGACCTTAATCATGATAAATATGAATCAAAAATGGCTTTTGGTTATGAAGATATGATCATGAGTTGATTTTCAGAAAAATTTACAAAATGGCGCCTAGATGACGTCATCATTGAAGGTCATAGTTGAAAACGTTATTGTGTTTTGTACATACCGGTATGCCTATACATATATGTGTGCCAAATTTGAGCCATTTTCAAGTAATCGTGCTTACAAAAAAGTGGTTTGAAATAAGTAAAATAAATAATAAAGGCAATTCTAGCGAAATTATAAGGTGGTCTGTACGATATACAGCCCACCTAACAATAAAGAATAATAAAGGCGATTTTAACGAAATTATAAGGTGGTCTGTACGATATACAGCCCACCTGATAATTACAAAAATAACATTAGTAACACCACCAACCATAATAATCATTGTTGTCATTATTATTGTGATACTGCTTCTAATACTACTCCTACTACATGTACTAGGAAGAAGGAGGGGAAGAGGAAGAATCTTATTGTTTATTTTTTGTATTATCGAGGCATAAAAATGCACAGGGAGGTAAAAGAGTGAAAAGTAAGGCGACGTAGAGGGAAAGAGAGGGAGAGAGAACGAGAGGGGATAGCCTATGGCCCGGGTTCAAATTCAGTTCTCTTTAATTTATTTGACCCAGTACTGATGATCATAATTTTATCTACCATGTGATTGCCATGTGTACGCCACACCGAATAGCACTAGCTCACATTTTGTTATTGT